CCTCAATTTAATGTGCACTATTTCTGGCAGTCTGCAAAGGCCTAGTTGAGATAAAATAAGTAATTTTGCCTCTTATTCTAATGCTGGGGAAAATATCTACTCTCATAATTCCTTACTATTTTCTATGCTGTCTGGGGATTCTAGGAATTATAGTCCAAAACATCTGGAGCACCAAAGACCTCCACTTTATTGTTTTGACAGATATGGAAGGGTATTGTTGAAAGCAGCATTTTCCTATGCCAGAAAGTTCACACTGAGGAATTTTCACTGATAAGCAGTAGATAATGCGATGCCATGGAGGAGATCAAACGGGGAAAGAAGAGTGGAGCAAATGAAAACAGATCAAAGTCTAGATGATTGCTTTGTACTTTCTGAAAATACCTTACATGATATTTTTTCCAAATGGTTTCTAAAGGTGAAATGGGGATGGGTGGGAGTATTTTCTGAGTTACTAAAAAATATGGCCTGCTGCCTCAGTGCTTTTATCTAGAGAATTGTTCTTGTTCTTTGTATTTCCTCTGCAACTGATTTACACTGGATGATAAATCTCTCCTGTTCCTTGTCAAGTTGCTAGCGGACGTTTCTCGATTATTTAATATGAAAAAAATTAACAAGCTTCTCAAAGGAACCCTTCTGCTTGTGTGGTCTAAAGTTTAGGAAAAGAGTGGAAAAACAGTATTTCCTCCCTCTAGTGGTTTTGGGAGGACACTGACATTCCACACAAACATTTTTGATCTGTTTGGTGGAGTGGTTGTACACTGGGGGATGAATCATAGAATCCTAGAGTTGGAAGAGACCACAAGGGCCATCAAGTCCAACCCCCTCCCATGCAGGAACTCCCAATCAAAGTATCCCAGACAGATGGCCATCCAGCCTGTTTAAAAACCTCCAAAGAAGGAGACTCCACCACACTCCAAGGGAGTGTGTTCCACTGCCAAACAGCTCTTGCTGTCAGGAAGTTCCTCCTAACGTTTAGATGGAATCTCTTTTCCTGTAGTTTGAATCCATTGCTCTGTGTCCTATTCTCTGGAGCTGCAGAAAACAAGCTTGCTCCATCCTCAGTATGGCACCCCTTCAAATACTTAAACAGGACTATCATATCACCTTCTCTTCTCCAGGCTAAACATGCTCAGCACTCTAAGGGCCTCGGCAGACGACTAATTGAGTCGTCTTCCGGGCCCAGAAGAGGAGGGGCAGCCGCACGTTCGGCGCCCCTTCCTCTCCCTGAGGTTGCCCTCGGAGTCGCCGGCCCTCCGCACGGCCGGCGCTCCGGGGATGACCTCACGCCGCGGCGACCACATGCGCCGCGGCGGAAAAGACAGCGAAAGTGCGCCCGCCGCTTTTAGTGCGCACTTTCGCTGTCTTGAGGAAGGAGTGCTGATTTAGCGCTCCTTCCAGGGTCGCCGCCGGTGCGCCGAGGTGCGGAGGCTGCGGCCCCGCGGCGCGCCGGCCCAGGGCGTCTGGGAAGCTCTCGTCTGCTTCCCCCCTAAGTCTCTTCTTACAGGACATGATTTCTGGACCCGTCACCATTTTAGTTGTCCTCTGGACACACTTGGATAAGGCCCCTTGTGCTGAGTTTACATTATTCCTGCTTAATTAGCATAGCAATGGAAGCACCTCATGGTCAGTAAAGACTGGTTTTTACATGATTGTTGTATTCTTTTTTCCTTCCCTGCAGGGTTCTGGAATGATTAAAGCTGGCTTTGCAGGTGATCAAATACCCAAGTACTGTTTTCCAAATTAGTAAGTATTCTGGTTGTGCTTGAGGATTTTGTGGATGCTATGCGTTCCATATTAAGTGCATATTAAGTTTTATATGTGAGAATAGTGGGTCCCTGAATGTGCTGGGCCTGAGACTGTAAGGCACAAGCTTTTCATAGTAAGTCTGATGACCTAATAACTTGTCTGTAATATAGAATACATTCCCTCAATGCTGAGATCTTTGAGATCCTCAGAAATAATTGCTTGTGGGATTTTGAGCTATTCCTTCAAAGATATTCCTTAAAACTGTAAGCAAACTGTATCTTTTCATTCATTTACCTCATTATAATGTCAGGCAGCTTCCTTACTATTCCCCTTCTTTTTTTTTTCTTTTTTTAA